CCCCCGCCCCTTCACCCTCGGTCCCTCGCCCTCGCCACCACCGGACCCCTACCCGCGCCCCCCCGGGTTCCCTGGGGACATATAAAAGAACGTTTCGTCGGAATTGCACCGACTCATCAGAAGAGGGTTTAACCCCGACGGTCTGCCGAGGATGCATGTGTGCGTGCACGCGTGTTGGAATAAGACACATAGATGTGGAAAAATTGTTCATACCATAGATCGGCAACTACAGTACAGTTGTGAATGACACAGCGAGGAGAGAGAGAGAGAGAGAGAGAGAGAGAGAGAGAGAGAGAGAGAGAGAGAGAGTCGTCAACACTCCCGAAAAATCAACAAACAAACAAACAGAGGCAATAAAAACAAAAGGCAAGCATCATTCATGTGTGTCGCCACATGCGTGCTTGACGATAATTGGAAAGCAAATTTTCAATCATCTAATTCAATTTTCTGAATCCTCTTACAGCAAAAAAAAGTACTTCACCATGCTCATATCCGAGCAAACTGCCTTTTATCTGCGCTCCCCTGCTTCTTTCCATATGGATTGCCCACACTAAAGCCATGTGCACCCTTCCCTTGCCTCATCCCAGGAGCCCCTCCTGCTCCCTTCTTCCGAAATTTGGCGGCATTGCTCTCGACTGTCAAATTCACCTTCGGCGGACGTTGGAAGCCGAAAGAAGACGCAACTGCCTGCTTCGCCCGTCACAGACCGAACACAACACACAGTGCACAAAACAGGGAATCAGCTGGCGCCCACACATTACTCATTATTACCTGCTACCAAAGCTTGTCAGTTGAATTTACCATCATTATTGCCGCGTCTGGACAGAAAGCTGTGCCAAATACAGCTATAACGTCTGGATGTTCCATTCGGTTGAAGACAGTGGTTAGCTATGCAGCCGGCGTGGACGTCGAGGTTCACTTTAAGTTGTCCGGTATATCTGTACGGACACCCTGGTCCGTACCCACATATGTAAAGGTTGTTTGTATTGAAATGCTGCATAACACACTTTCGTTTCAGAAATTTCTGAACACTTTTCTTTTTAAAACAGATGTGCGGAAATTTTTATTTTATGGACAACTAAATCCACGAACGTCCGCCACGGACGTTGGCTCGAAGGCCAAGGGTCTGGACAGGCTGATAGCTCACTTCATTAGCGCACAAAAAAAAAGAAAAAAAAAAAGAAAAAGAAAGAAAGAAAGAAAGAAAGAAAGAAAGCAGCTCCTACAAGCCTACAAAAAAATCAATTAATAATTTAATACGTCATGGTAGAACCTACTAGAAAGTCACAATCACGTAGACAACATACTCGACCTACAGTTATATCATATAGCGGTATGTATTATAGCCCTTTGCAACAGCAACTTGATCAAAATGGACATATTTTATTTTTCGAACGACATTGAAACCTCATAAACTAGACCCATTTAGGCAAAAAATTTAAGCTCTTTATTTGATACATGCCCAGTTGGGCAATCTATGTATAACCAAGGATCCGCAATGTGATGAAAAGGACTGAATGGACAATGCAGTGTTAGTGGAATCTCAACAAGCAGTGTACATCCCGATACATACAAAATGGTACTTCGTAGCGCAGTGGAAGACTTAGATATAAGCCCTTACCTGACCGGGACTGACCTCTCTCACGTAGTACAAGACAGCGCAGCGAAATGCTAGAATATCAATGACTAGCCCAACCAATGTCGCAATGCAGACCAAACATACATCATCCTCATCACAAGGTGTGAAGGGGCCTGGCCCTACACACAGGAAGAATGCGCCAGGTCCAGACCACACACAGACGAAGAGGAGGAGATCAGACGAGGAAGAGGGGGAAGATGGGAATGTCGTCACCACCAAGTCTTCGGTACAGATCCCAAATAATCCCTCGTTCAATGTCTCAACCCCAATGTCAAGTCTGAATCCAAATGCCGCTGAGTCCCAAAGTCACCAATCTCTCTCTCTCTCTCTCTCTCTCTCTCTCTCTCTCTCTCTCTCTCTCTCTCTCTCTCTCTC